TTTGGCCAGTGTTCAGCTTCTCTAAGTAGAGATGCCACTGGACAAGCCATTTAATCCTGTCTAAAACCCAATCATCTCAGCAGACCAAGGAGGGCATAACGACGGGCTTAAGAGGCACAGCTGATTGCCTCCTCGTCAGGGGGCACCAGCGCTGCGCAAATGGTAACTGACACAAGCCGTACGTGGAGGGCAGAGCGATCGTGGATGCCAGTTTAGCCGGGGGATTATGAGCTGCTGTGCACTTTGTATTGCGGCGGACGGCAGTGCGCCCCGCGATCCCTTTAGCTATCCAGGTGATCGGTCTCTTTGTCAGCGTTACTGCAGACATACCGGGTGCCAAGAATCAGGAAACAGGATGAGGGTCTCAAAACAAGCCTATTAGAGTCCAATTAAAATGTATACAGCAACAGAGTAATCTCTAGGAGATTTCACTTCATTTCTCAGTTTGATAATACCATTCCTAAATGAGTGCATTATTCGCTTCGGCTAAATATGCATATCAATGCTGAAAGTTAAATTAAAGTACTGCACTGCGCCACAGAGAACCGCGGGACTTTAATTCACAGACGTGATTTTTGTTTGCCCACATCTTTGTAGCTGCCGACAGCGATTTTGCTCTGGAATTAATTTTTTGCTTTCAAAAAGAGCGATAAAACCACTTAATAGCGGCCTACAAACGCAAACGATCAGTCGTCTGCGCCTTTCGCTTTATCTCCTGTTGTGTGGATTCATCTGCGTTTGACATGGTGTTCTCTGGAAGAGCAGCAACGGGGACAGAGCCTAGATGCTCGTCTGGAGGATAAAGGCAGGTTGATGTGTCCCCTCATGACAACATTAGTGATGTATACAAAGTACTAGCTGAGGCTCAGTAAAAGTGGACCTGCAATAACGTTCAAATAAAATGAAAATAATGTTCACTCAATCACAGTAATGTCAGTGGTTGGTGATAACCAGTGAATAATCATTAACTGTGTTCAGAACTTCATTACGCAGCATCAATTCAGAAAGATCATGAAAGTGTTCTGTCAGCCATACTGGGAATCTTGGTTTACATGAAGACATTAATTAGTGGTCTGATTTACTTCCAGAATGTGTTATAAACTACCAACATGCCTGTAATCCTTACGAGACAGAATGATACAAAAACCATAACAATTGAGATCTAAAACAATGACAGCCTCAAAAGAAACAGTTTAAAACAAACAGCAGATCCTGCATCCGCATAGATAAAGGAAACTTTCAAAGTGGTAAATGACAGAAACACAAAACTTCACAGGCAATTTCTGCTCGGGTGGCGTTTCTTTCAGATCTGATGGTTGAGAAAAATATAATCAAAACTATTGGCACTATTTATACATGCACATATTTCTTGGCTACATGGTATAAATGACGGGTGGATTCCAGCTCTAACTCTCCCCCAAACATCCAAATCAAGGGGATCAAAGTTCATCAGAACTGCTGAGCAGATTTGCCTTAAAGCTGCCGATTGTTAATAAGAGCGACCAGCTGCCAATCCTCTCTCAGCTGAGAGAATGAACTGCTTGGCCATGTTCCCTTGAGGAGAAACAAACAAGCGACCAAGGGCCTGTCTGGCAGCAGAGAACGCGAGTTAGGGTTAGGGTTAGGATTAGGGGTTAGGGTTAGGATTAGGATTAGGGGTTAGGGTTAGGGTGGACGTTCCCTGGGTCGGTGGTGGATGGGAAGGAGCCTGGAAAATGGCGGGCAGAATCGGCAGGGTGGGAGAGATAACAGATGCTGCCACATGAAGCCGCTAACAGGATGAAGCTACTCCTGGTCTTTCGGGTAAAGCTGGATTATGTCTGAGAAGAAGATAAACAGATTATTCCCCAAACCAAGCCTGCTTTTTTAACCCCGTTGCTAGTGTCACACTCGGACTTCCCCGTCACCTCCTGCTCTGTCCAAAGCTGCCAGACCTACCATAACCATCGTGGAATGTCCAGCGTCTGCTTGGGGACTGTGCAGGGACCTGAATCTCATGCAGGATGATCTAGAGCTGCTGGACGCAGCCAGCGAGACACTCGCTTCCCGGCAGAGGGGCCCCGGATACCGTGGAGACTCCCGCTCCTATAGAGCCCAACACACTGGTATTTTTAAGCAAGTCATTCCATCATGTTGCCGAAGGCGGGACTTTTCCTTGTGCTGCTTCTGCTCGTCCTTCAAGCTACTGGAGTAACAGGTGAGCCCTAAACCAAGCCTGTTATTTTAAAAATGATAAACAAGTAGAGCGTCCTAATGAAAAGTCCACAATATTATCCTGGTTCACTGCAATCACACACCTCCCGTGTTTATGAAAAAGATAAAGTTATTCAGGATTCTTGAGGTTAAAAGTACAAGGTCAAGTTATTTTAGAAAACGTTAGAAGTTAAGTTTGTTATCACCTGCATTTGGGAGCTCGCATGTTTGCTCAGCTGAGGCAGTGCTGAGCCCACAAGGTCGCCCGTCCGGTGCCCAGTGCTCATTTTTGTGCCACACAATAGGCTGTATGGATTCTACTAATGATGCCAACTGACAGTCTGTTTTTACTGAGCTGTAATGCAAAAAAACATTTACACTGCAAAGGAAGCTATGTTCTTCTATGGATTAACAGTACTTGACCTTAAATACTCTGCCAAAGAATATCCATCAATTTCAGATTTAGGTTTGAAGCATCGTGCACTGGATAATGAAATAAAACATATATTAAAAAGATTACATTAAAATCATATAATGAGAAAAATTCTACCCAAACTGATAAAATATTAATTTGAATATGAATTTAGTTTTAATATAATTTTGAAACTCAGTTTGTATTCCCAGAGGAGAATTTTCTATCACCCTTTAAACACTAATAAATGAAAGTCAATGGACGGAAGCCATCGCCCATTTACACAATAGGACTCACTGCATGAACCTCTTTGAGTCTTTACATAATCATTTGAGGTTCATTGCAAACACAGGCCCTATCGTCTTATGCCTAAAAGCCTAGCTGGCTACACATTTGATATGCATTTAATTTCTAGTGACAGTGTAAGTTACAGTATAGAATATGCACCACATTGAGTGCCGTTTTATGTAAATGCAGCCACCAATAAGGCACAGTGTTCTGACATCATTACATACCTGCACAAATTGGTAATGTGAACTAGTGGGTTTGAGGTCTTTTTTAATCCATTTCATTACACCAGAATGTGGGGCTTTTCCAGCATAATTTGTCTCCATAAGCACTCTTGGTCTGCACCTCTGTCAGCAGGTGTGAATATAACACTATATCATTTCCTCTGTCAGATTACACTGTATGTATAGCAGCGTTGTACGTCTGTATGCATGGAATAACAGCGCCTGTCATGTGTTCTGGGGACAGCCATCTCAACGACGTTTGTTAAAATGGGGAGATTGTTTTCTTTTTCGACAAAGGGAGAGGCGTCAGGGTAAATTACCATCAGCCGTACTGACACGCTGGGCTGATCTCCGTGTCCTGATGTACGTTGAGCTTACCGTGGGGACCGTGTCCTTGGATGATGAGTAAAAGACGGAGCTGAATGGATGTTTGCGTAGCACGCGGCGTGATGGATGATGCAGCAGCGGAATCCAATATATAGGAATTACACACAACTAAACCGAGATTTTTAATCACCATGGTTGCAAATTCAGTGAAGGACTGCTGACGTCTCGCATATGGGACGTGTGTCAAGGCTCAGCTCGTAACAAACAAGCGTGCATGAATACCGTCATTAGAGGCATAAATTCCTAAGGATTGATGAGATTTCGGGTATTGGGACCTAAAGGCAGTGGCCCACTGCGGGGTGTCTATTTTGTTGCCTGTTTATTTTGGCTTACCTTCACACTGGAATGAGTGTGTCTTACCTTCACACTGGAATGAGTGTGNCTTACCTTCACACTGGAATGAGTGTGTCTTACCTTCACACTGGAATGAGTGTGAAGGTAATACAAAATAAATAGGCAACAGAATAGAGGCCCCGCAGTGAGCCACTGCATGCAAGTATAAATACCATCTGGTCAGGCAGATCTGGTCTAAAAGTATTTTTTCTAATTAGGAAAATCAGTTTTTTGACTATATACTCGGTTACCAACATCATGGACAATTACTAAAAAACCTTTCCGATAAGATTCTGAACCCTCATATTCAAAAAGCTGGCTAGTGTACGGCGCTCTTGGTGTAATTCAAAACTGAAATGAATGAAGTTTCAGAAAAGGAAACAGGAATTAGCACATTATGTCGATCTGATTGAGTTTGTATATACATTTATAGGGTCTGTTCATGTTGAGCAGGTGAGGCTGGGGTTGACCTCTGACCAGTTAAGGGAGCCTTTGCCACCATTAATGGCAAGATTTCTGGGGCAGACATGTGACATCTTAGCAGAATTCAGACCCATGGTCTTTAAATTCACTTGTACCGTCCAAGATGACGTGCGAGGCAAACCTTCATAAAGAGATTCATTGTCATGGTCACCATCAGATCTTCAATCACAAAGACTTCAAATAAGACCCTGTGACATCATGCCATCGTGACAGCTGATTCATAAAAATGTAGCCACAGAATGAAAGCCACAGATACACAGAATGAAAGCTCTGCTAGAGTTTTTCCCAAATACAGAAGAGCTTCTAGTTACCAGGATATATGCTGTTACCCTCCCTACCAACAAGAGTTCCCTGAAATTCATGAGTCCATGCAATAATATATTGACATTCACACTAATATAGTAGCACAGCGAAATCAAGTAGAACAGAGATATGATAACATTGTATTACCTTTTACATTCTGACCAGGTTCTGTAACCATGGTTACACCCACAGGCAGTTCACAGATCCTGCATTTTCTCCAACAGTGATGAATTTATAGCATTCTGTTTAACCAAAGAAAGTAAAGAATGTATTTAAATATCTCATACATATTTCATATGCGCATACTCCATGGTTTGTAATGTTAGACAGCAATTGTACCATCATAAATCTCTTTATTGTATTCTCTTTTCCAGAGGGTAACAGCAGAGATGCAGTATCTGAGATGAAAACAAGGAGTTCACTGGGTCTGATGGAACTGTTAAGGACATCAAAAACTAATTCGATGAAGATATCTGATTTGGAACGGCATCGACCAAAAAGGTCAACTTTCTTCCAGACGGGTGTGAAAGTCTGTCCTCAGGAAACTGTGAAAGAGGTCATAGCAAGCCACCAAGCGTACTACAAACTCCGAGGTAAGGGCCCTTAGTGTGAACAGGAAGTGAGCGTCAGCATGAACTCGGGGCCCGTCCGCACTGATACATTGTCGTTTAGTAGCGCAAAAAAATTCTTCCGATCTAACCTTCCGTTCGCACTATCATAGCTTTTTTTTTTAGAAACGGAGAATAATGTCACCAACAACTAATCTTTCTGTAAATGCATTAGTGCGGACGCTCAGAAATATAAACATAGGTGCCGCCTACATCAGTGAACTCCGATTGAGTCGTACTTAGCTCGTGACCCATTCCTGATTAGCTCTCTTCCTTTCGATGTCTCTTTTCCTACTGGGTTATTCTTAACGGGAATGAAGAATGCCTTTCCATTTTTTTCACGGAAGTAAGCCACATGTGAGCATGGAGGATGTAGCGGACTCTCGCTACCTGGTATATGTTGTTTTGCTTGCTTGTGTGCAGCAAAATCGTGTTTTGTGAACATTGTATGCTATTTACAATTATTGTGGAGCTCAAAATGAGACAGGTTTAAGTGCAGCTCTAGCTTATGATAAAGACATCCAGCCATCGAACATGAGAGCGCACTGAAACTGAGGGGGAGAGAGTGAGACGTGTAGTGACTACATTTCTGGATCCCTGTGTTGTTGCTGTGACGGTTCCTTTTATGTACAGCTTTGTGTTTCTGACACTGTATACAGTACTGTGATATTTCGCTTTTGCTAAATAAAATACATGAATTTACTTTAAGCACATGGTTGTGTCTGAGATTAATCAACAGTGAAGCATTTATAAAAGCTGAACTTTATTACTAGTCAAAGTAAAAAAAAAATGATTTTATTTATTTTGGTTGGACAAAACCTGTGCAAATGACATGTTGTGCCTGAGCTACAACAAACAAAATGCGGCACTTCAAAAAATATATTATATAAAGCTTTGGTTAAATGTGCAAATGAAAAATGTCAGAAATAAATACAAGAACAACCACTCTTATAGCTACATCATTTGCCTTTTACACAGAGCAGTGTGAACGCAGACGTATTTTAGTGAAAATGGTAGTGCGGACTCAGATTTTATCTCTAGGAAACTTGCGTAAAGAATTTTTAACGTATTAGTGCCGACGTAGCCTTATCTGCTTCAGAATAAATCAGTACAGTGGTACCTCGGTTCCAGAACTCACTAGAACTCGAATTTCTTGAAAGTCAAACAAACCAGTTTGACCTAGAACTCGATCTGAATATCAGAAGTCGAACCGTGAACGCT